ATATACATTTGGAAATATTCTGTGCTTCATCCATAAACCACATGACGGTAGGTTAAATTCTCACTTATATAGACTCATACTTTTTTAAGATGAAAACCTTCAGCCTTGCTAATTAACATTTACCCTTTGTTAACACGTGATATAAATTCCCACTTCCACTAAACTCTTTAGAATATGTGGGTCCAGTTTGAAGGACACACAACACATTCCCTAAGGAAGGAGGTCGGACCCGCGGGAGGTGAGATGAGATTTGGCCACGTGTCATTCCCGTCCTGTGCGACATTCTTCGCCTTGATTTTATTGACACTCAATGACTAGAGAGAAGAAATCTCAAATAGCCGTGTTGTGTCACTGTGCATTAAAATGTAAAAATGAAGGTGTCCTAAAAATCATGAAGCTCCTTTTAAATACTTTTAAGATTCAACATAGGAGGCCACAACGGCAGTGCATAAACTGTACATGTTTTAAAGACCCATGTTGCTGAATCCCTGGCGAAACATGAGGGTATGCTGTTGTTAAACACTTCCCCCATATATTTTTGGCCTTTTGTCTTCAAATATGAGAAACCGAGCCAGCCTTTAGTTCTTGAGCGACTATTGCAATGTAACAACATTTGACTAATGCAATAATAAAAAGCAGTGCTTCAAGGCCATCTCCCAGCTACCCCGCAAGCTGGGCTATGCTGAAGTACGTGAAAGGGCTTCACTTTTCCCTGCTCTGACCTGAGCTCCCTGCCCCTGTTCAAACGTCCGAAATCTCCACCAGGAGACAAAGACTCATCTGATCCAATGACTATGTAGTTTAGTAAACATCTCTGTCTCTTCATCACGAGGATGTCTGGCCTGCCCGCTCCTCACTAGACCATGAAAAATTACAGCACTTTAACTTCTGTTATGAGGAGAACTGTGTCTCCCCATCAAATTCATATGTTGACCTGTTACCCCCGTAACCTCAGAAGGAGACTGTACTTGGAGATAAGACCTTTAAAGGGGTGATTCGGCTCAAACAGGGCCATTAGGTGAGCCCTAAATGCAGTGTGGCCGATGTCCTTAGGAGAAGAGGAGGTTAAGACATACAAAGAGCCCAGAGGAAAGGTCATGTGAAGACACAGAGGGAAGGCGGCCGTCCTCAAGCCAAGGAGGGAGGCCTCAAATCGTTTTTATTTTTTTTAATTTTCTCAGGTTCTAAAAAGGGTGGCTAGAATCTGGACACTGATAACTAAACCATTACTGAGACCCAACCCTCTGCCCGGCAATCACATGCAACTTTGTCCCCTGTCCAATATGGTAGCCACTAGCTCTGTGTGACCCTTGAGCCCTACAAATGTGGCCATAGGCCATGGGCCACGTGTAGAGATTCCAACATTTTGGATATATTGTTGAAAAATTTGTGATTTAAGTTGATTTCACCATTTTTGTTTTCATTTTTTCTGATGTGTATTTTGTTTTGTTTTGTTTTTTTAGGAAATTCAAACTGCGTGTAACTTTCGGACCTCAAAGATGGGGGACTGTGTCCACCAGCACCACCGCCGCCACACCCTCCCCACCTCCACCATCCCAACTCCTTACAATTCTCAGCCCTGCTCTTGGTAAATGTCCCACCAAAGGGGACTTGTTGGGATAACTGGAGACAAGTCTGCACATTTCTTCCACCTCAGCCCAGTGATGGACAAACCCACGAATGGAAAAAAATATATATTCCAAATCATAGGTCTGAAAAGGGATTAATATCCAGAATATATAAACTCTTACAACTCAACTACAAACAATCTGACTGAAAAATGGGCAAAAGGCTTGACTAGACATCGCTCCAAAGAAGATACACAAGTGGCCAATAAGTGCATAAAAAAAATGAGCTCAACATCTCTCATCATGAGGGAGGTACCATCCTCGCATGTATTAGGATGGCTTCTATTCAAAAACATAAAACAAAATAACAAGTGTTGGCCAGGTAGTGGAGAAATTAGAACCCTTATGCACTGTCGCAGGGGAGGATGTAAAATGGTACAGCCATTAGCAGAAAACAGTATGGCCAACCTCTCAAAAAACTAAAAATAGAATTAATGTATGACCCAAGAATTCCACTTCCGGGTATCTACCCCAAAGTAGGGTCTTGAAGACATACTTGTATGCCCATGTTCACAGCAGCACAATTTTCAACATCTAGAAGGCAGAAACCACCCAAGTGTCCATTGACAGATGAATGCATAAGCACAACTTGGTTTATTTATACCATGAGATATTATTCAGCCATAAAAAGGAAGGGGATTCTGACACAGGCTACAACACGGATGAACCTTGAGGACATTGTGCTCAGTGAAGTTAGCCAGTCTCCAAGGGACGTGCGCTGTGTGGTTCCACTTCCATGAGGCACCTACTGCAGTCAGACTCCGAGACAGAGGAGAATGGTGCTGTTCAGGACAGCCCAGGGTCTCCCTCCAGGCAGCCACCACGGCTGAATACTTCGAAGAAGCAAGCAGATGTCCTGTGCGCTGGCCTTCCCTGAGAAAGCAAGCCGTGTGCTTGAAATGTGGAGACCTCCCCCCACTGCCTCACTTTACTGCAGGAGGACCCCTGTGCGAAGGCTGCTGTGTCCTCAAGCTCTGTGACCTCTCAGAAAGATTAACATCAGACCCAACTGGCTGTGGGGGAAGTTGATTTCCAAGATAAAGGAGCTGAGCAGCTGAGGGCTGTTCCCCAGAGGAGCCCAAGGGTGCTGCCCTTCCAAAGAGAGACCCTGACCCCCCGCCTTCTTGCCACACTGAGGGGCCAGAGGTGATTGACGCTTCCTTGTGCCACGGATAGAGTGAGCTCATCCTAAGGTTTCTGCCATCCAGGGCAGCCCCGAAAGCAGTGAAAACAGCACATATTCCGGAAGCACTCAACTGCTAAGAAGGAAAAAAGCTAGAGGACGAGGAAGGCGAAGCTATTCTGCTGGCGTCTGTTGGTCTGGAGAGCCATCCTGAGGACAGCTCCCTGGTGGGAAAGAAGGGCGGGGGTGCAGTGAAATCAACCTTCATTCCGGGCAGGCGAAGGCCTCTGGCGGTCTCGTGCGGTGTCTTGGGGCCCCTGGCAACAGCTGCATTCTCTCTTGGAGGCGGTGGGGACAGGAGCATGAGTATATGTCAGTTTAAATGGGATAATTGTAATACGTGAGCAGTATCTGAGCTTCCCCAGTAGACACGACCCGCTCACACAGCACAAGGGCCAGGGCTGACTTTCTCCCGTGGGATGGAGTGGGCGCGGCCATGACCACCACATTCTTCTCCCACACTGATTCACTCAGCCCCCGCCACGCCCACACCTGCAGGTTGGCCCGACAGCCCCCTCCTCAGGTGGAGAAATTCGGGTGCAGATACGCCTGTGTCCCAGTCTCAAGCTCCTGAGTGAGAGAGGCAAAATGGGAACACTGGGGCGTGTGGCCCCAGAGCTCTGGTTCGGACCACCAGGCACCTGTCACTCATCAGTGGAGCGACCACAGTCACCAGCGTCGCTGCAGGTGCTCAGAAGTGCCCGAGCCAACAGGGTTCCCAGTCCCTGTCGTCACAAGGGGGTGGCCTCAGGGTCACATGGACCAAAGGAGCCACGGGGCAGGGAGGCCCAGGACCAGTGCTCAGAGAGGACTCCCGGCATGGGCAGGACCACAAACATCCTCACGATACGAACCCCAAACGTAGCAGCCCGGAGACGGCAGCCCCGCGTCAGCTGCCCCTGGGCTTGGCGCCTGCACGAACGACCCACACGCACGTCATGGGTTGGAGCGAGCTTCACGCACAGAAAGGAGAGGTGACGGGGCGTAACCAGCGTTGGCAGTGTGTGCTGGTCCCCGGTGGCCGGCGGGTCGCTCCCAGAGCAGCGGACCGCACGTTGCCCTGGGGGGACAGGCCGGCTGCCATGGGACCACACACGTGGGCAGGAGGAGGAGCTTCAGTGCAGACGCAGGACGGGGGAAGAAGTTCCCCTGATGAGGAAGAGAGATCTGGGGCCAACGACAGAGGACGGATGCTCCTGTCCCTGTGCACCAAACGCGCCATCCCAGAGGCCGCGGTTCTCGGGATGGCGGCCTCCCCAGCAGCCACAATGGGTGCATTTTG